TGACGGATCGAAGTTGTTGAGAGATTTTTGAACAAGTGGTAAATCTGGTTTTGACGTTATATTTCAAAAGTTTTGAAGAAGCCAACAGCAAGTTCGACTCAACAAAAATCGACGCAGGAGGAACCCAGAAGTTTTGCAGAAAGTATTACAGTAGCCTGTGGAAGTTTGTTTGAAAAATTAATTATTACTGCTACTTCCAATTTAACATCTGTTTACAATTTTTTAAGTTACGTTTTTAGCGAGCTTTTAATCTGAATTCGAGCATAGGATTTTTGATCATTTCCCGACAGTTTTCAGGTTTTTGGTACGCAAGTGCTCGCAGAGTATAGTAGCTAGTGCCTTGGGTTACCATGCGAGAAGTCGACGGTCCATGCCGCACCGCTGGCATATCCAGCAGAACTACCTATTTGGATCTGCACCGAGCGAAGCATAGAGACCAAAGACTAACCAGCCTACGAGAAACTCAGCTTCGCTCGGCACCCCTCAATGGATACATCGTTTGCTGTCTTGTTGATTAATATTCAATACTGGCCTGAAAGGTTTATTACATACAATAAATTGCTGGCCTGTCTTTAATTACGACAACGCAGAAACCTTTCATGTTTCGACGTTTTAAGTGTACGGCCGTCTCTTGCCTGCGTACGCTTATTGATAGTGCCCCTAAGGAATCGTAAATAGGTTTAGGTTTCGACTCGTTTATTAAATACTTGTTTCGCGACTCGTTCGACGTTTATCAATAGAGTATCAAAAAGGTTCATAGAAGCTAATTTGAAACCAATCTAGAGAACTATTGGTGTTTTAGCAAGCGGCTCTTTGATAAACCGTTATAGTTTGTTGTTAATATGGCATGACGACCACTATTTCTGTTATTGTTCTCTTGAAGACTGGAAATAAATGTTAACCGAAATATTAACCGAAAAATTAATGGATTCCAATGTTATTTGGTACTCATAACTTAGGATTTTTGTTCTTTACTTTGTGTCCATTTTAAACTTTTCAATTAGTTCACTGGTGGAGATCTGCGATTTTTTAAATGACGATAACTATTATTGTTAGACCTACTATAATTAAATCAATTAAAGCATAATTAAATCAATGGACAATTAAAATAAATAAGACCGAAAGAGAAACGAGCAAAATGCGAAAGAAATGTAATTTGCTTAAAATTAATTTCTACATTGAATAACACAAATATGCTGAACAGGCCTGTATTACTAAAGCGAGTACTAAAAACACATAATACTATTAACAATATCGTTTCTGCCATTTAAAATTTGACAAGTATACAGTATATCCAAGATATTGGAAACCATAAAAGATATTTATTTTCTTGAAACGTTAATAAAGTGCTGTTGGAAAAATATATGGTCTTTTGAAAAATGAAAAAATGTGTGCGATTTGATTTTTGATGTAGAATTATGACTCTTTGCAGAATATTTATATACTGCGATTTAACTGCTTAATATAGTTAGTCACCTTTTTAAAGGATGTCTCAAATTTAGAGACAAAAACAATGGTCGCATTCAGCGGAAGTAGCAAAGCGCTCCCGATACGTAGCGGTAGCGATTAGGAACGTGTATGTAGACTGTAGAGGTTAAGGTGTCTTATTTTTGTTTGGGTGTTGTTGATTTTGAGATTTAGATATTTTCGAAGGTATATTTTATTCAGTGTTTGTATGTAGTGCTGTGTGAATAAAGTGGAAACGTCTTTGTACTCTATTACCTACTACATCAGAAATTAGTGGAAACGGACGTTATGGACATTTTAATTCAAATCGAAATGAGGGAGAATAATTTTGTCAAATAGCTTTAGAATTAACAGAACCAATTCGAATATTTGAGGATAAGAAGGTGATAGGTGTCCAATTCCAAAAAATCAGAAGTATTACGAAGACTGTAAATAGTTATGAAGGCAACTTATTCTTAGAATATTTTCGAGGAGTACATTTGTAAACTTATTAAAAGAGGTTTAGTTTAGAATTTATCACATCTAGCACGTTTCGGAGCAGCGAGACATTTGATATTTTTAAAAGAGGTACTAGAAGAAGAGCTACCACACCTGGAAGTATATATTGTAGTCTTTTCTTATTTTTGGCAATGGGCTTTTTTCCTTATAACAGGAACTGCTGTCGAGGTTATTAGGTAAAGGAGGTTAACTGTTTTGTCCTCCTTATGCATTGCATCAACCTGGTAATAATATTCTTAGTTCTTTCCAGTTTTCCCTATATTGTCTTTGATGATTGTGTAGGTTTTTGTCAGGTTTCTCCATTTCCTATCCAATATTTCTTCGGTTTAGTGGAAATACATTCTGCAAATAATTTAAAATTGCATCTCTATTTCATGTGACCGTAATTTGCGTTTAAAAAAAATATTAGCGTTTGAAAAAAAATATACCATGATACGATCTTCGAAAGCTCGAGAGGTTTTCGAGAAAACTTTCCCGTTGGGACACTCAATTTTTTTTTTGTAAATTTTGTAAATACTAATAATAATATAAATAATAACAAAAACATATATTTATTATGCTGGAATTTCGTCACTGTCCAATACACTCTAACCGAATTTCTCTTTCAAGACCAAATTCTGCCAATACCGATCGATTCGCTACCGTTACATAGCAAAAAATAAACTCGCTAGAAAAATGGTGTCCACCCCACAATATGTTGGATTTGTAGCGCATGTGCCACCGGACGTTTCCGCTGAGGCTTTGTAAATTGAAATGTGCAACACGCTACCAATCGCAATCGCTACCGTTACGTATCGCTGAATGCGACCAATCCCTTCTGTAAATTTGTAAATTTATAGTGGTATTATAATTGTTAAGTTTGTTATAGTCTGCAGTCTTTTTTATATCGAATGACACTTTTTAAATATCACCATGGCCATCATAGCGCGAATATTACAATTTAAAAATACACTTCTCGAGACGAAATCGCCCCTCTAGGGCCGGAACAAAAAACGTGGTCCCGTTTTTCTCGAAGAGCAATTTACATAAATCAATTACCATTTTCATTAGACTTAAATCCACGCTAATGGCACCCGAATAACAACGGACTACACAAGTTTCTTCCAAATAAATATTTATACGAGGTAAGTTGTATGGAAATTCGGAGGGGGTTTTACGCGGACTTGTGGGTCATTTGACTTTCAAAGCGGTCCCGCCGACTTCGGGGGTAAGTCTTTTGACAACGAAAAACACCATGTAAAAATATATACTCCGCGGCTTGATATGCAATTTGCTCGGCTATGTTGCTGAATGAGATTTTCGGTTGTTTATGGGCAACCAGAAAATATAAAGCGTAAATAACTTTAAAGCAAACGATTGTTACACTTAAATTGATAGTAAAAAGAAAACAAACGCTGCCCAAGAATTATACAGTCAGGAGCCTAAAGGAATTGTCCGTATCCCACACACAAAAATAAAATTTTGTTCAAGGATTTGCAGCTAAAACTATCTATATTAATTAATACCTGGACCAACGACTCAAACGGTATAAAGTCTTATTTTTAAAATTTTACAAGAGACAATTTTTAAAATTGTAATTACCCATTAAACAATAGAAACTTTATTTATTTATTTTTACTTCTTTATTTGGAATTAACTAACTAAACTAATGGAAAGTATTAAGTCGCACAACTTCACCTTATATCTGAACATATCTAGGCAGTATGTTAAAAGTTTATGCCGTTTAACCGTGTCAATTAAATATTACGATATATTCCAATATTTCAAATTGGAAGCATACGCCTAAGTTGCAATTTTACAATATCTATTTGACTTGGACACCTATGCTTAAAAAAACGATCTTTAATGTTTCGATGGGGTATATTTTCTAAACTTTTCGAACCTCAACTTCCATTACAAAAGTAGAGGAAACCGACAAAAAATACAAACAACAATAAGTTCAGTTTAATCTTACCGGATAACTAAGTAATCGATATAATATTTTAAACAAATTCGTTTTTACAGCGCCAATCAGTATTAACGCGGGAAATTTTAAATACGAATCGCTCATTAACCTAAAATCGTAGCTTACTACTGCCTGTCTCGGTCCAGCTATAATTCCCGCTATCGCTATATTACAAATATATATTGGTCCTAACACCAATAGTCAAGTGAATTTTACGAATCTGATTTCCAGAATCGGTGTGAGAGTTGCAATACTGCCTTTAGTGTGTATGTACATATTAGAAGTTTGTATATGGGTGTATAAAACAAAAAATAACTGACAAAAAAAAGAGATTTTCACGACTTTAATACACGCAACAAAGACTGTTTCTCTATAAAAAAATATTGACTAAACTTTTCAAAAAATATCTTACGAAGAACGGCGTTACAATAAAATACAATACAATAAACTTTCCCAAAGCTAAAAACCTGTGGTAATATAAAAAATATGAAACCCAAACTAAAATTTTTCTCCCACAAAACTGTTTTCATAATTTAGAGGAATATTTTACTTATTAATGTTTGTTATCACTGTTTTTATTATATAAATTTTTAAGGTAGTTTTCTGTATAATTTGCGAGATATATCGTGTACTTAATTTCCACCTATTTGACGAAATCCATAACACACTGATTGTATTCAAAATATATGGAATATTAAAGATATAATAATAATAATAATAAAATAATAATAATAGTAATAATAATAATAATAATAATAATAATAATAATAATAATAATAATAGTTGCAGCCATGTTGTGAACAGCCACTTAGGCCTCAATTCACTTAAGAATAAATGCAAATTTTAATAAGTAAAATATTATATAATCCCTAACTTGTAGTAGTAGTAGTATTAGTAAAAAAGGTTGCCGACAAATATACCGAATTTATTTTGAATTACGCGCGTTGACGAAAGCGTTTATCACTCTAAAGAGCTTTAAAAGATTTTTGGTAACTTTTTCATTATTAGAGTTTCTTGTCTCTGTTAACTCGCGCTCTACAATCAATTTAGCGCATCAAGTGACGTAAAAGAATACGAAAAATTTACTGACCGAAAGGTCACCCCCGTAGAAGGGGTGAATGACGAAGGTTTCGTTGCCCACGTGGATGACGCCGCTGACTCCGTTGCACGTGTGAAAGGCCGCCGTTGCCCCCGGATAGTCTTGTACTTTGCCGTGGTAGTAGCAGTGTTCGATATCCTAAAACGACAATTCTCGTATAAGTCAACGATGGAGAAATAGACAAATATTTCACTTAATTAATTTTATTTATTATTATATTATTTTGAAGCTCCGTGCGTGTTGTATCTACCGGAAGGATTGAGTTGACAAACTCTTTTAAAGAGTCAGTCTGATACGTAAATAAATAGATTCCATTTCTCTCTTGAACGTAGGGTGAAGTAGAGATTTTGTATTAAAAGGTCTCATCAAAAATGGCTCGAAAAAAGGAAGCAGCTTGTTATTGCTTCGTTCAAGCTAAAGCGAAAATTTCTCTCAGATACTGGGTGAGAGATGGGATTAAAAGGAAAAAAAACTTAAAGAATTTGACACAAATAGTGATAGATATGATATTACTCAATTAACTGCAGTATCTTGCTATGTTTTCTTTTCAAACAATTTTTTTTCGTTTTAAGAACTCATTTTTGGGGTGTTTAACGACACCGTAACAAAGCTCAAGTACTGCTCGAGGATTAAATGTTTCATGCGAGACTTGCAATATCTCATATTTACAAAATGAATAGTGCTCGAAAAACAAAAACAATCATGACACATTAAAAGTATACTTTTCAGAAGATTTTTATGTTACGAGACAAAAATATCAGGATTTATTCTCATTGTGCATTCGCACCATAAATGTCAAACAATTCGCAAAAATGAAGACTAAACCTCCAAAGGAAAGAAGGATATGATATAAAGTGAGCGACACCATTAAAAGAAACGGAAGCATGCAAAAAAGCTAAGAGTTCAAGAACGGTCAAATGCATGCGTCGTGCAAAATCCCATGTTCGAGTTATTTTGGAATGAGGACTATCAATCCGGTTCCCGTGTACGGGCAAGGACTGTAACGGATTGTACGAAATACATGCGCACATGCTACAAATTATTTTCGTAACCGCACACACACCACACCTTGTTCATGTTTTAACATATTGCATGTTGAATGTGATAGGTGCAATGTATCTGTAGCCTATGAATTTACTTGCTTTTTGAAATGACGTCCAATCAGAATGGCATGTTTTCGATAAGCTTTGGTTAGATAACTAGATCTTTATTTAAAAAATTGTTACCAATGTTAACAATAAATGAAATGACGTCAATGGCCCGCAATAAGTCAGCTACAACTAGAGGTACTTATTGCTAGAACAATCGTAATACTACATCATATTCTTAATGTCACATACGGATTATTTCCATGTTTAGATAGTTGTCTAATGGCTCAAGATCAATTAAGAGTTTATTAATTTCCCTTTTAAAGTCATTCCTATTATTAATTCGTCTAATATTTAGAGGTCGTTTATTAAACAGTTTTACACACATATACTCAGGAACCATATAATAATTCTATTCGGATGCATTTAAGATAGCTAGTGGATTTTTTTTCATCTAGTTCATCTGCTTCTTCATGCTCAGATGTGGACACTTAATTTTTGCCAGCTGAGACATTTGTGAGTGACACAAGAAGAATTTATTGAATAGTTTAGGTACATTTTAACGGTGTTTTTTAAATTCATAAGATATCCCGACAATTGTACTAAGATGGTTTTCATGTTTCACTTAGTACATCACGTAGCATAAGTGTCTTTATTTTTGTCCAATATGTCAAGAGATTTTACAAAATGACCTACCGGCGAAGAGAGAACTAGTCGCTATGTTTCAGAATTTTTATTTACATCGCACCCAGTTCCGCGCAATCTTAGGACTTACTTCAAATTATCCTGGGATGTCAGAAGTAAGGAAAGCAAATAAGAAGTCGAACAAAGCTAATAGCTTTTCCACGAAAATGTCCCACTTTTGTACCTCTAGATTCCGCTGCATCGAAATGATAATTGGAACGTTCCCCAATATAAATAAGCTTTATTAAATCATTCGTTTACCATGATCATACAAGCAGGACTGGAATTCGACACAGCGTGAATAAATCCTAGTTTTCATTTTAGTTTCCTGACAAATAACAAAAAACTCTTTTCTAATACATTTTTGATACAATTTTAAAATCGGATTTAGGTAGGTGAAGGTTGGCCGAATTCGGGACCCAAATTTAAGTATCAACTAGAGTGATTTAGGGAGGACTTCAGAAGTTCATCAAGCGAATATTTCTTCTGTTAATTTAAGTGTCACCTAGCTGTAGGTGACCCCTAAAAATATATGCCTGGAAACAGGCATAAGAAATAAACAGACTATAGGAGCGTGACCTCGCAAAACCTTTTCCCAACGAACGACCTCTCCCGCACCGGTTCGACCTAGTTCGCTTGGAAAACAATACACCACTCCAACCCCTCGCCCCCTAAAACCACCGAACGCTCATTAATTCGGACGCAGTTTTTTTCTCCACGTAGTGTCCCCCTCCCGTTAAACACACAAATTCAAATAAAACCGCAGCGAATTTAAAACAGGTCTAGCGCGCCAACGTTTCGCCTGAAACTGAACAAATAGATTTGTGTTTCCGCATGTGCGCTAATTATTTTCGAAAAACCCCCGCTAATGTTTGCCCGATAAATTATTTTTAACCGTTTTCGCGGGAAAAAAAAGTGTAACGACAGGGCAGGGCGCGCATTTCGTCGCGACCTACATCCGCCACCCCTCGAGAAATTTATTACAAATTATATTGGGTTTACACAAGTTCGGTACCAACTTCGCCGAGAATTTATGCTTTTGATGTAAACCGGCTTAATTTTGCAAATTGGAACTGGCCAAAGAGAAAAACGATTTTCATTTTGTTCGTGAACTTTTTTTTTTAAGATTAAAACGCTGGAAGAAATATTACGATTATTTTTTCCTCATTATTTATTAAGTTTTTGATTCAGATACACTCAGTCCTATTGTAAATGTGATTTGAGTATAAACTATATTGGTATGCAAAGTCTGTTCATAGATATAAGAAAGTGACTAACAGATGTAACGAATTACTATCGCTATCATCGCCTGTTCTAATTATTATTTCTTCTATATTATTTGCAATATGGATATACGATTGTTCTGCTTCGGTTTCTATTAGTTTGAGGACATTGGAGTTAACACGGGGAAAAACATTGTTACGACGAATGGCAGATTTCAGTTGGTGCCAAACATATTCAATGGGATTAAATATACAGTGGTAAGGTAGAAGCCTTAAAACTGTGTGCCCTAGATTTTTTGCATAATTATCACAGACGTATTCCTTTTGAAGAGACAAGGATGCATCATGTCCCCACTTTTGTTTAACGTGTACTCAGAAGCCATTTTTGGCGAAGCATTCGAAGATAAGGACATCGGAATCAAAGTAAATGGAGTATATGTGAATAACATGAGGTACGCGGATGATTCTGTCTTGATAGCGGATAATATCCAAGACTTACAACAACTGATTACTCTACTAAACGACGCCAGTAAAAACTATGGACTAAACATAAATAGTAATAAAACAAAGTTTATGATAATCAGTAGGGACAGGGTGCCTTATGTAAATGCGCAACTCGTCGTCGATGGAATGGCTTTGGAACGAGTCAAGAAATATAGATACTTGGGTAGTTCGCTGTATTACGATTGGGACAACGACAAAGAAATCAAAGCCAGAATAGAAATAGCCCGGAGCTATTTTCTCAAATTTAAACATATACTTACCAACAGAGACACAAGCCTGAACCTAAGAGGACGATACGTCGAGTGCTATATATGGTCCGTTCTATTATATGGTATGGAAACATGGACGCTCAAAACAACATCAATTAATAGATTAGAAGCGTTTGAGATGTGGACTTACCGCCGTATGCTGAGAGTATCATGGGTCGAAAGGGTTACAAACGAGGAAATTTTGAGAAAAATGGGCAGAGACAGAGAAATTCTATTACACATAAAAAAACGAAAAACGCCCTATTTCGGACACATAATGAGGAACCCAAAATATCGGCTTCTCCAGCTAATCGTCGAGGGTAAGATAGAGGCCAAGCGTGGCGTAGGAAGGAAACAAATGTCATGGCTTAGAAACCTGAGGGAATGGACTGGCTTGAAAAATATCGGGGACCTTGTACATACAGCAATGGACAGGGTAGCATACGGAAATGTGATCGCCAACATCCAATAGTAGTGGATAGGCAGCTGAAGAAGAGAATTCCTTTTGAAAATAAATGACGTTATTATACATGTAGATTTGGATTGTTGCTTTTGTGTCACATGAGGAAGGGGTTTAGTCAACTGTCTACTGTGATAACTTGCATCGTCCATTAATTACAATGACGCTATTAGGAGGAATGTTTGGAACTTGTTTGTTTTTAAACCAACTTTCAAATAAATCAGTTGTGGTTTTTTCATGGTCATCCAGAGAAGAATCTTTAATATTTTTCGCAGAGAGAGAAAGTACATTTGGAATCCAACCATCTTTAGAGCCAGCATGCAAAATAGTTATTCTTTTTACCTCTTTTTGATGGCGCGTTTGTTTTACACTTATCAGTTGAGTCAACCCAACCCTTTTCCGAGGTATCATAAGTGTCGAAGCAGGCTTCATCCAAGTAAATAATTGGCCTTTGTTGTTCTCTGTAAATCCTAATTTTTTCTAGATATTACAGTCGCCATGATAGTACTATACCAAACCAAAGAATATTAAACACAGGTAGGTATAAAATTATTTTCTATTACGGACCACAATTTTACCTGAATTTAAATTCCGAAACTTTAGGTAATAATCTTGTTGCATTGTATGTTAATGACCACCCTGGATAATCCCATTCAAACGCAATTGTTCACTTTCATAAATCTATGAACAGACCATACCGTTACAATATAACACAGTCGTTCAGTTTGACAGTACAGCCTTTTATCATTACACAACTCATTAAAAATCGCGATCTACACAGCACAAAATAATATACATCATCATCAATGTGTTTTCGGTTTTTGTTTGTTTTGGTTCGTTTTTGTGATCGTCAGTTGCTGTAATTTAAGGGTTCTATGCTCTGCCTATTGCGTCAGTTCGATTAAAATAACGCTGTCAGGAAGTACTAACAATTAATATCTGTGTATTGCTATGATTTTACAATCTTTAACATACAAAATATTGTCGGAAATAGACATTACCATTCCCATTGCAGATTACATATAAAGCTATTAAGCAAAGGAAAATGAATGAGATTTTACAAAATATTGTGATAATTGACTATCACACGTCATCAAACACTTTGATTTACCACCTGGTGATCGAGCTTTTGGCATGAATAATTAAGAAGAAAATCATCATTCAGAAATTAAGACTTTAAATAAGTTTTCTTTAGGGCTTTTGCGTTTTTGATGTTCACTTTTCCACAGAATATAAATTGAATTTTTGATATTAAAAAATCTTCTACGTTCTCAGTGCCGCCTTTTGTGGAGACATGTATGACAGTATGATGATAACCAAGAGAACAAGATAAAAAAGGTACGTTTGCTAGTGTCGACCTTTTCTCAAGTGCTAGTGAAATATAATTAAATGATAAAATCGATAAAGTAAGGGAATATTTTCCGAGCTGCAAATCCGAAAAGATCTATTGACCCTCTCAAAGTGTTTAAGTCGAATGTGAGATAGTGCTCTCAATTTATGGTTTCCTGTGATTATCAACATACCGGCTCTACCTGCAACTTAAACAATAAAGATGGCCATTTTTGTTGAGAGGGATTTTTTAAAATATTATAATATTATTTTTACTATTTATTTTAGATAACCAGGAAACTAAAAATTTCAGATTAGTCAAAAACATTCGTCACAACACGTAAAATTAAGTATTCAACAAAAATAAATGGGGCGTTATATAAATCATAAATAACGTGTATAGTGAATATTGAATAGTATTATTGTTTAAGTTCACCGTAGTGATAAGATTTTAGTTATGATAATAATAAAAAAATTACCTGTTTCGAAACCTGCTCAGCTCCGTTGGCCAGGAAGTGTTTTTGCATAATGTTTGGTGCTATAAGTTGTCTGAAACCAAAAAAGAAGGATTAAAATACTGTGTATGTTTTTTGCGTTAAAATTGGAGTAGCTAATGCGTTCAGCAGATGTGACGAAAGCGAACAATAATCTTGAGAACAAAAGCAGTTAATTGCCAGTGGAAAGTTATTTAATACTGTCTAAAACGTAGTAACTCAAACTTATTTAACTCGGTGCTGCTCGCTAACAAAATTTAAGCACGGTTTGTTTTTGTTTTCACGACGTGAAACTTTTTTGAGAACGCGACCGAGCATCCAAGTTTATAATTTTGATGAGTTTAAAAGTATGTTACTGTTTACTCGACAAGGGGAAACCCTATAATTAATTAAATGTAATAAAAGAATTCGAATTAAATCGAATTTGTTTTAAGTTAGTTTTTTATAACTTCCCACTGGGTTAGAAGTTTGGTATTTCTGATCGGCATTTATTTGACACATATTATACGAGGTTTATGTAATTTGCAGAAACCTTATTTAACTTTGCAGGACAAAAACGTTAGTAAAATTTTATATACCCATGAAGTAATTAGACTTGTTTGAAAGTTAAATATATAATATGTGTGTGTGTAGATGTGTCGTATGAGACAAATTCTTATTTCCCTCCTTTGGTAAATAAGAAAATTATATTATGGGCACCTGGAGAAACTCATGAACTTAGTTTCACCATGCATTAATTTTTAACCAATCATAGTAATAGTGATTTTTTTCTTTTGTTTCTATTTTTATAGACACATGCGTTGCTATGGAAATCTGTCAACAAAATCAATTTTGATTTGTTAAAAACTTTTGTTTCCGTTTTCAATGATAATAATTTTGACTATTTTTTTATTATTTTTTGTTGCGTTTCTCATAGTTATGTTTCAAAAACTTGATTTTGTAGGTATTTATTTCCATTCGATGGACAACTGCTGGATATTTTTCCGTTCCACCGATCGTTCAATCAGATAGTTTTGAGGAACGCATGTGAATAGGTAGCTACCGTAAACCAAAAAATTCTCCCGGATACATTGAAGTGTATTGATCCTTATCAATATGTTTTGTATTATGAAGGCTCGTTTACGGATATCTGAGATACCAACCATAACTACTATCTTCAGGCTATCGGGAAGTCAAACCACAAGTTATCAATTTGCCGTCAATCTGGAAACATATCCAGAGCAAACCTACAATTCTGTATTGTGCCGTTAATGCGGAGTGCGGATATATAGTAATCTGGACTTTGGTAAGCAAAACTATTCTGTACATACTAATTGACGTATATACGATCGACTGGCATCAATAATTGAATATGTATATTAGCAGATATATAGAGAGGGGCTTCATTATCATATTATGTACCGGGCGTATTACTAAGGGCGGCGAATTAATGCTTTGAGCATAGGCCACTGCAGGATATAATTAATGCAAAATTGTTTTGATACATTAAAATATCCATCAACAAGCTGACGAACGTGATTTTATTCTCAGTGGCAATTACCAAAGAAGTAGTATTAAGAGCGGTAGATTAGAATTCGCTTTGTATCAACAATAACCCCAACACCCACCACCAAATTACACACACCAAATTACGAAAACTGTTCTACTATGCACGCGTGAATCGTGAGGAAAGTGTCACTTCGGGCGTTTCGGAGACATGAACCACGGACTTCGGATGATTTTGGTATATTTTACGCAGGATATTTTGACAGCTCTGACGGTCATGTCACACGTATTCGAAATTCTAAAGAACAAGAAGGCACTCGGACCTGGTAATATCTCCGCAGAACTAATCAAATATGGACCACAAAAACTATACAAACAACTAACAAGATGCATCAATAACGGTGATATCCCGGAAGAAAGGAAATTACCCTATCTTCCCACTATCTGCAAAAAGGGTGCCAAAGAAAACAGTGACCATTGCCGAGATATAGCAGTAACGAGTATATTCAGCCGAGTATACGGAAAAATATTAAAAATAAGAATAGAGCACGAATACTCAGCAGAGAAGCAAAAGTATAAGCGAGTTTCTGAGCAGGAAGATCTACTGTTGACCATCTCTTCTGTGTCACTCAACTCATTGAGAAAATATCAGCCTTTGGCCGGGAAATACATCTCCTATTCGTGAATTTAAGGAAACCGTCCGACAGCATACCATTACCTCAGTGAATGTATTCGTACTGAAAAAAAGCTTACATAAGATCGAGTGGTATTCTGTAGAAAGTTTCCAGACTAAAAATGTAATTCAATGTATTAACAGTGAAATGGAATTTCAATGAAATTAAATGAAAATTGTATACATTTTATGGATAGCTTTGGAAAATTTTAGTTTCGTTTCTTTAAAAAAATATGTTTTTCGATGCTCTATATCTTGACATCAATAAATTTGATTTATGATTGTTCAATCAGTGTGGATGTCGACGAGTTGTTCAACGATGTTCTTCAAAAAGAACAGCCACGGCACGCTCATCGCCAGATTGAAAAGCCGCCGCCGCCGCCCCCCATTACCCAGATTGTTTGCCAAGGCAACACAGAATGAGTGGTTAAAAATGGATACAGGCGGTGTGGAAAACATCGATAAGATTAGAAATGCTTGCTGAATGACACTGATTGATCGTTTCGCCGTTTCTCGGGATAAAAAAAATATATTTCAGTTTAAGGAACCGATAGGGTTTTGTTTCCATTTCCAAGATTGATCCAAACTATATAAATCGTATTCGGTTCGGCGTTGCTATGCATATTGCTACGCAGTTCTTGAAATAACGCTTTTCGCGAGAATTTGAATTATAATTTATCTCCAGTCTTCTTCAGCCCATTATTTTGGAGTACGGCATCAAATAAAATTCAATATTAGAAAGTTTAATACCTATTTCTCCCGCATTACACATTTGCGGCAGATTAATAAAAAATATAGCTGCAGCGCAGTGAAGTGCAATTTCAGCGCTCTATGTGTGCAAAACTAGAAAATATAATTGGACAAGGATCTTTGTAACAAACTAGTGCAGTTTTTTACAAATTTCAACAAAATTAGGCCGGAAATATTATATTATGCAACAAGTGTGGTAAACGGCATCTGAGCCACGAGTTTATTTGACACGAGCGGAGCGAGTGCTTAGTAAACCAGTGAAAAGTTTGCATATTATACTTTTTCTACGACCATTAGTTTCAGGGTACATTTTTGTAAAAAAACATGAATACATTCACTGAGTCAAAATTGAAGCCGTGGATAATGTTTTCGACAACATCCGATTGCCACCAGTGGATAATATCTCGAATATGTCCGAAGTGGCTCGTAGCCGTACGTAACGAAAGTCATGTCGTAAAATCACACTTTCTGCATGCTCGATTGGTGCCTCATCATTAAACTTTTTCAAATAATTAAAAAAAACAGATTTTAATCTTATTAGTGACATTTGAATTGTTCTTCGTTTTCAAAACAGTATATTATGCAACAAGTGCGGTAAACGGTATTTGACTAACGAGCTTATTTGACACGAGCGGAGCGAGTGTTTAATAAACAAGCGACTTAAAATTTTTACCGAACGTTTTGCATACTTTTTCTACGACCGTTAGTTTTTGGCCACATTTTTGCAAAACAACAAAAATATATTTACTGACATGACAGAATTGACAAACGTCAAAATTCAAAATCTCCAAAAACATCCGATTGCTCCCAAACCAGTGCGGCAAAATCCCAGAAATGTCCGAAGTGGCTCGGATCCGTGGGAAACGCAGTGCTTATATCCGAAAAAGTCGCTCGTACCAAATGTATAATTCATAGGTTAAAAATGCGCGCTCTTCGGGCTAAGGCTAAGGCATGCTTCTAGAGACCTTTAATAGACAGACACCCTATACAGAATTATAGGCAATAAAATATTACTCTTTTCACTCATTATCGGAAATGGAGGTACCGATCCAAGACCGATAGATGCGGTGGCGGCTGTAGCGCGGAAAACTATGAATAATTAAATTTCTCGACACCTGAACGTTATAGCTTCAGTCGTTGTTTAATAACGCCCTAAATGGATATGAAAGTTTAATCAAGTGTGCATAAAAGCAGATCGAATTATTGCATTTAGTCGTTAAGGGATGTTTTTCTTTTACTTTGATGCGCTGCTGTGTTCAAATCTTGAAGCAGTTAGTTGCTACTTTTACCTTGATTCCGGTTTTCAAAAACATGCAATTTAAAGTTAAAGTAGTTTCCCATGAAAAATAAATATGATGCCTTTCAACACGCGGAAATTGACCTGACGAAAACAGCAAAGTCTGGGGATCATTTTATATCGCTTTGAAGGTGGTCTTTTCAGGATAAAGGATAAAATTTAGATGACTGTAACATGTGTCTCTTATGATATTAAAAATATGAACATGCGTTTTGATAGAAATCTTTTAGAATTGCTTTTTGATTGATAGAAAAAAATTCTGCTCCCTTCTGTAAAACACCTAATTATACACCGATCTAGCGTGCTGAAAGTGTCACTTTACAACGTCAATTTCGTTTCCGGCAGATCCGAGCCACGTCGGACATTTCCGGTATATTACCGCACGGGTTATGTAGCAGTAATCGGATGTTTTCGCAAGGCTTGAATTTTGAGATTTGTCAAATCTCATTGTGATGTCTGAAGGTGTTGTTTTGCAAGCATGTAACCAAAAACTAACGTTCTTTAAATTTTTGAAGTCACTCTAAGACTCAAATGCCGTTGATCGTATTTGTTGTATAATATACTAGTTTCTACTCCCGTTTACCTCACTTACTCACTCACTTACCCTCACTTTACCACGTCAGTTTCGTTTTCCACGGGTCCGAGCCACTTCGGAGCAATCGGATATTTTCGGATATATTTCCCACGCTTTGAATTTTGACGTTTGTCAATTCTGTTCGTTAATGTAATCATGTCGTTTTGCGAAAATATATCCAAAAACTTACGGTCGTAGAAAAAGTATAAGTATGCAACACGTTCGGTAATAGTAATTATGGAACAAGTGCGGTAAACGGCATTTGACTTACGAGTT